GTCAGAATCGCAACGTTGGCCACAAGATTAGAGTGTCATTGCAGCCAAGCAAGCGATTGTTTCGCATTCTAACCGACAGACGACAGTTTTCCCACATGCTCATCACGGTTGCAGGCCAGTGAGCCAAGAACCGTTGGACAGTCTTCACTCCCCTCCAAGACAATCGTTCTCCTTCGGTTTTTCGGTGAGGCAAATTGACTCATTTTGCGTTTATGAGCAGACTTTCGAGACTACCAGTAAATCAGTAGTATTCTGTCTAATGTGTCGAATTTGCCCACAATGACATGAGCAGGCCTTGCGTTGCCTTGCCTCCAAAAAAAGCTATTCCCATCCGAGGTCGACTGCAGTTTCGATTGCCGCTTGCCGTGTTGACAAGACTCGTGCGAGGTCGAAACTGCAGTCCACTGGTGCCCGGATGAGAAGACCTTTTGGGAAATTGATTGGAAACGTCAGCTCTACCCATCGCATTGTGCCGAAATTCTACTCCCACTCGTGCATCACTTTAAGCGGAATAGGATGAATTGACAAATTGTGTTACACGAAGAAAAGTTGCGTTTCAGCGTGTCACCGACCAATTTCCTGTCACGTGACTGTTGATATTGACGATAAAGTTGATTGGAAGCAACTCGTGAATTGGTCATTTTAGTTTCCAGTGCGACCAATTTACAAATTGCTTCTAACCAACTTTTCCGTTGAAATGTAAACTTCAGTCTAAGAAAGTCATCGTTTTTACATGTTTATAATTACATATCATTTATGGTCAAATTCACGCCGCTAGGCAACCGACTCGTGATCAGGATCCATTCGCTGTTGAGCCTATTTGGTGCCGGAGGGTCATCAACATGTACCAGCCTCGGCCGGTGCTACTAACGTCGTCCTGGCAACTGTGCCCCAGCTGCATCATCATTTAGACGCGTCGACAGCCTCTGCCGATGCTCGGCCGCCGCGTGAGGATGCGCTGTCGACCGCGTCAGCATGTGGGCTCTGTGGCGTGCGGTGGGCAAAAGACAAAAACATGTTTCCGCCTGCTCTGACGGCTCGTGTGCCAGCGGCGTCGGCAAGAATAACGAGTATGAATGATGATAGAAATAGGATTTACAAGGCGAGTGGTTGGACATGAGAGTAGACATTCACAGTTTCCACATGTCACGCGGTGTTCCACATTGGGCCAGTCCATTCTGGGCGCCTGCTGGTTGTCTGGTTGAGTCGACATTTGCATTTTGCCCAGCTGAACTTTCATGTTTTTGTCCAACTCCTCGTCCGCCAGCTCCAACCGACTGGCGCCATTTGGTCGTCCGGAGTCGCCACTTTCTCACTCCCCCCCGCTCCACACCGACGCCACCCGTCGGCCCAACTGTCTCTACACTCCGGCAGATGGTCGTGCTATTGTCCGGCCTGTTCTGTGTGAGGTGGCCGTGACAACTGGGCACAGGACAGCAAATGTGAGTTGCACGAGGAGAAGACGAAGTGGGTAGAAGAGAGAAAAGGAAGAGGCAATGGAAGAAAAGAGAAGAGAAGAGGACAAAGCGGAAACAAGTGACAAGAGAGTAAGTCGAGAGTCGGAGCAGAGTGAGTCATCTACAACGTTGCAGTTACGTCGGTGGGTGCAGAGTGTGTCTGAGAGTGCAGCAAGAGCTGGCCTCCGACCGGCCTGGAGGCAGATGTCATCGCGTGTTCGGCGTCGAGCAGACTGTCTGAAGGTTGCATGGCGCGGACACGGCGTGGCAGTTCGAGTCCGATAGTTGCCAAGCGGCCGAGCCGCGGTTCGGTCGAGTCTGAAGGTCCGAAGGCGTCTGTCTGGCCGGGCCAAGGACGCCTTGTGTGCGTGTAGACGACACGCCGCAACGGGTGCCGGGACTCGGAGCTGGGCCGTCAGCTTGCCATGGAGTGGCCGAGACGCGGCGCCAGCCATCCACCAACCTGGCCGTCGGGATACACCCTCCAGCAGGTGGGCCGCCCCGCCGTTGCTAGCGCCGCGTCTCGATGGGATGGGTAGCAAAGCGTGTTGCCAAGACAGTTGAATGGGCAAAATCCATTTGGGGCGCCTGCAGACTTGCTCATCTCCTCCTCC